CTGTAGCTTTTGGGTCTGATAAGGTCAGTCAAATCCCCTCAGGATTTATCCTGAGATCCTGTACCTCAGATTGTAGAACCTTTGTCAGTGTCAGCCACGTGGATGAGTCACAGCCACTGCTTGGCCAATGTGTTCTCAGTGAAAGCCTGAGAGAGTGTCTTCTCCCCATGTGACTCTCCTTAGGCACACTCTACATCATCCATCACTTTCCTCTTTGGCCCCATAATCTCCTTGATCAGAATCTGTGCATCCACTTCAGTCCAATGGAATGTGCTATAAAGATGGAGTAAGAGTCATGCACTTGCTCAGGTGTCTGGAATACTCTTACAATGCAAGGATGGTTGCAAAGCAGTGAAAATGAGATGTGAATGGTACTTAGCTTTGTCTGCCTGAAAAGGAAGTAAAGAGGAGAAAGTAGTAGAGTACCTTTAGCTTTTAGTGACTTGAAATAACTATTTCAATGCTTACTGTATTATCAAGGTTATTAAAAATTAAATTTCATCTGAGAGTGGTGGCCCTCACCTGGAACCCCAGCACTTGGGAGTCAGGCAGGAGGATTTCTGTGAGTTCCAGGCCAGCCTGAACTGCATAGTGAGACACTATCTCAGGAAGACAAACAAATTAAGTTTCAATTTATGTACAGTAGAATAAATAGATCTTAGGTGTGTATTTCAATCAATGCTGATAAGTGCATATGTAACCACAAATTCTATGAAGATATAAAATATTCCCAGTACCCCAGAAAATTCCCCAATGCCTCTTCTCAATCACCCTTTATTTTAATTTCTACCATCCTTGGTTCAGTTTTCCTAGAATAGTACTTCATATAAATGTCCAGCTTGTTTTATTTAACATAATGTTTATCATAGCTTGTTCAATTTTATTATGAATGCTCCACAATATTCCATATAACTACAGAGTTTTTTTCCATTATCTGGATGCATATCTTTCTATATTCAAAAGAACTGAAAGGAGGGCTGGCCAAATAGCTCAATGGATTAAAGTGCCTGCTTAGGCAAGCACAAGGACCAGGGGTTCGATCTCCAGGCCTGCCGTGCCAGCCCTGCCCCCGGGGTGAGCTGAGATGGCAATTGAGACTGGGTGTGGTGGCACGTGCCTGTAATCCCAGCTCTTGGAAGGCTGTAAACAGGTGGATCAGTACAAGTCCAATCTAGTAGTGAGACCCTGAACACCCTGTAGACCCTTCCCTAATATAAATCTCAAAATCCCCAAAAGAAAACAATGTCCCATTATTTCCACATCCTGAGCAAGAAGTGGGGGAAAATGCAGGCTTTCAAGTGAAAGTTAAATCAACGTGCACCAAATTTCATCCACTTTCAAGTTTTTGTTTTGTTTTGTCTGCAAGTACCCCATCAGAGAAGTTTGAGTATTCTGAAGATTGTGCCTATTTGTTGAGATAGTACCAATTTCTCATAATTTTGCTTCACACTTTAGGTAGTTTTTTCAAATACTTATTTTTCTCTTTTCCTTTTATCGCAGGCTTTGCACTTCTGGGAGGACATCCTTCCTTTCTTACCACTCAAGATATTCATTTGGGTGTGAATGAAAGTCTCACGGACACAGCTCGGTTTGTAAATTTTTTCTTCTCTTCACAGTTTATTTCAGAATCTGATGGATAAGTTTCAAAAAGAAAATATGCTTTAATAACAATTTTCCCTCGCAGAGTATGGTGTGCTGTTCTCCATTTTCCATCTTTATCAGATGTTTAAGATGCCTCTTTTCCTCCAGCCACCTTTCGTCAGTTAAGACTGTTTCTGTTATTATCAAATTTTTAAGAACATCTGAGAAGAAAATTTTAAATTTAGTATGACTCAGAAATTATCAAGCATGAGTTACAGTTAGTAGTTAAGAAAATGTAGGCCCAAGAAAATTGACAATGCTCAATGACTTATGACTAGTTCGTATCAGAGTAGATAATAATGTGAATAATTAGTGTTTATTGAACATTGGTTACATATCAGGTATTGCTCTAGCTCAGTCTTTACCACAACCTAAATCAATTGACAAGAGAGAAGAAACAACCTAATTAGAAATATACTAGCTGCTGTAATATAAAATCTCAAATGTCAGTGTCTTAATATAGTGCAGATATTCCTGATTGGTAAGAGAGAAGGACAGATTATTTTAGTTGTGCAGTCATTCAGGAACTTGGGCTCACAGAGGCTCTGCCATCTTCAACATGTGACCTCTAATGTTATCATGAATGTCAACATTCAGCGAAAACCTACGAGAAGAAAGCATAGAGAAAGTATACTTGCTTTAAAGCCACCTTAGCAG